AAGATAGCCATTTTGTAGACTTTATTTTTCTGAAAATATTGACGTTTCAAAGTTTAATTTTCATTAATTTCCTGATTTTTAATATTTTTTCTAGTTTTGAAGATATAAAATATGATTATAACAATATTAGGAACACCGAAGGTATTCGGTCGGCCGTATGGGACTGCGCGCGACGCGGTGGGTTAATGTCAATATTGGCAAAATGTCAATATTTTCAGAAAAATAAACTCTACAAAATGGCAATCATTAATATTTTTGGAAATAATTAAATAAAAGAATATACTTTTTAAATTTTTTACCAAAACATTAAAATAAATTAAAATATGAAATAGGTAATTGTAGTTCTTATCCCTGTGAGTATTATTACAAAACCAGAATTTCGATATCACCATTATTTCGGGAGATATTGMTATGGGTAATCCTCACGGAACACCCTGACACTCTGTATAATATTATAAAATAGGTACGTATTCGGTAGGTATATGATCTTACATAATATTTTAAGTAGTTGCTATATTATTTTTAATAAACGATTTTAAGTATCTACACGTTCCATTAATTCATAGGTAAATTCAACAGGTCTCTAATTATATGTTATAACTATTAACTAAGTAAGTACCTACTAACTGACTTTTTGTTTATAATTTTGTTTTTATGAATCGAAATTCTTAGAAATATACTTTACTTTAAAATATGAAATTTAAACTAAATAAATATATAAATACCTTGTATATTATATACGATATAATACCGTACCTATATATAATATTGTCATACAAAGAAATAAATAGCTATATTTTAAAAATTAATTATTTCCAAAAACTACTTTTCGGAATGAGTTCTACTTAAGAAACCACCCTGTATAAGTTACATAATGTCAATATGTCATCACAAATTACAAGGAACAAAATATGTATCTTGAATTTGTTTCAATATTGTGTAGTGTTAAGTTAAGTTTGACGACCTTGTTTAGGGCGAAGTCTTTTGGCCATATCATTAATTTTACTTTTACCTCTGTTATAGTAAATTATATGGTGAGAAATTAAAAATTATAAAATGAGCTTGGAATATACGAAAGTATTATGTATAATTAGATACCTTAATTATAAATTACAGTACATGAAATAGCTAAAAAATAAAATATATTTCACTGGTTTATTTAATTGCATAGTTTTAAAAATAAAGTAGGTATTACGAAATGCATATAAAAAAAAAAAATCAATAATCATCATTAGTTTCGTGTTATATAATGTTGTAGGTGTATACGGGACTTACTGATCTTTGGTTTTTGCGAATGACCCTCTACGAACAGATACCCAATGTTGAAGCCAGCAGTCGCCTTTCTGCTGTTTGCAGCGTTTATCAGTCAACTGGATGGTAGGACCACAGAATATCCTCCACTTTTCGAAGACTTGATTAATTACCTAGTAGAAGGCTTAAATTATGAGAAACGTCAGACGCGTGACGAACGGCATGAGTTTACTGAATATGATTTTATCATAGTCGGCGCCGGTTCTGCCGGAGCAGTACTGGCAAATCGTCTGTCGGAAGTAAGTGAACATTTTATTATCACAATATGATAGGTACCTAATATTAATTAACACTTAAATTTTAATATTAATACATATCTTACCCTTGGGGGTGTAACACGATTGCGCCCGGCTTACCTTTTTCCATTCAAAAAACGCAATACGATTGCGCTCGACCAATTAGCAATATTGCGCTCGTCTATAACCTTTTTTACCTGCATAAAATTTATATTTATCTATATTTATGACCATTTACTAATATGCATGGTTTACCTTTCTCAGTCTCGAACTTTTTTGATATACATAGATCCATGTTTTACACTATTATTATTTTCACGACGATATACACTTTACGGAACAGCTAGTGAGTTAAACACGGTTTAAAATAGTTAACAGTCAACAGCCAACAGTCAATTGCAGCTCAAATGTAAAATCCGATCACGACACTATCRTTGACGCATACTGATATCTGCAGTCCATGGATAATAAGATAAATTAACAATAAAACATTATCTCGATTACTCGGTTGTACATATGGGGAAATCAAGTCCAAGGAAAACCAAGTCCGACTGTATTTTTAAATAGTGTACTAGAAAATTGTTATATAACATATACATATACGGGACAAACACATATATATATATTAGAGCGCAATCGTGTTGCGTTTTATGCAGGTAAAAAAGGTTATAGACGGGCGCAATATTGCTAATTGGTTGAGCGCAATCGCATTGCGTTTTTTTAATGGAAAAAGGTAAGCCGGGCGCAATCGTGGTTCACCGATCTCAATAGGTACTTGTCTACTCAGGTTATGATGACGTACAAATAAAGTATATTTGAATAACTTAACATCAGAATATTATTATACTGCCGCCGCTTCAAACGAGTTAGGTTTTTGCATCTCGACAAATACACAAAAAAAAATAACCGACTAGGTATATTTTAGCATAACTGTTACGTTAAGTGTATTCATGTAGAGACAACAATAATATAATATTCAGTACGCCAATTTAGATTGTAATCGCCAGAATGTAAAGAATAGCAGTAACAAACATTATTTTGTCAATTACAAATCTTTTGATGTAATCCAACAACTAAGCTGTAAACGTTACCAAGTAAAATAAAATGTACGATATTTTGATAAACCTAGGCAAACATTTGAGTAATTTTTACTATATAATTTTGCAATCGTTAAAATTAATACATATTATGTTACAACAACTCATTTTTAATATAACAGTAAAAATAATATTTTTTCAGTGGATACAGAATGTTATTATTATGTACACAATACTTTCTATTGCACTAACCAAACGTGGTTGTTTAGTTATTAAACAAAATAATATGTTATAAACACTATACCTAACCGTATTGTTTAGTTATCATTACAATACAATAATACATTCGATATCGTTGTGATTGGTTTTTATTATTTTAATAATGCGAATCAACAGCTGAGACAATGACACGCTTACTTTTTGTTTTAGGTGCATGCGTGGAATATACTGTTAATCGAAGCCGGCGAAGAAGAACATTTCGCGATGGACGTCCCTCTACTAGCCAACATGTTACAGTTCACTGATGCTAATTGGAAGTACAAAACAATGCCCTCCGATAGTTATTGTATAGGTAATAACACTAATATTTGTCTATAATAGATAAAGATTACTTTTAACAATAGCTGGTATTTAGTTAGAATATACGAGACTAAGATATTATATAAACATTAAACTTATATTAAGTAAATCTTAGTTTTACACTTTTGCCACACATAGATATCTTTAAATTGTCAACATATATATAGTTATATATGGTACACTCATCATTCATCAACAAAAATTGTATACATACATTCATTTAATATAAGGTTTAAAAATTCACAAAATTTGCTCAAATCTGTGATTACTTAAATCATGAACCGAGATTACACATTCCACTGGTAAATCATTGAAACGCCTAATAAAATGAGAGGTTAGCGTCTGTGCTTGTTCGAAAAATCGCAAAGTTTTAAGGTGCGTTTTTCCTGAAGCATCTAGCGTCAGTATCAGTCCGGATCCAAGTCGGCGTTTGACATGGCCATACTGACTGTTCCACTGTAAAGACGCTGCAGGGAAACCGCACCTTTAAGGAAATGTAGCCTAATGCGTTTTGGGCGAGTGATTTAAAACATTTTAATTTGTAATGTGATATGGCAAAATGTGTTTCAAGAGATTAAGATACCTCGATTCACTAAAAACGTAATTTTCAATCAAAAATAAAAATGTTTTGTCAATTTCGTTTTGTAGTAAAAATACAAATATTTTCAATTTTAATATCCTTTTTTGGTACACTAGCCACTAAATAATAGGTATACGTAATAACTAATGACTATGAGTCTATAACACTATCACTGTAAATAGTTCACGTTTTTAATGTTCGATCAAATGATCTTATGATATTTGTACCATAATCATMATTTTAGGCCAATAGTAAAATATAATATAATTTTTCTAAAAATGACGTTAAATTTGTCTACACAGATCCCATAGAAATATAACTAATGTTTATAAAATGTAACTTGTACAACAACTATAAACACTGTTTACGTTTGTTGAGAAACCAAAATAAATAATTTAGGTTTACAGTAATATTAAAGTCTTAAATAACTACTTACTTCACAATTTCACAAACACTAATTGTAAAAGTCAACTTTTTTCTATCACAAGCAACTAATTCCAAATAATTTTCAAAATTGTTTTATTTAACTTTTATATGATAATAAAAAATGTCAAATTGTATTATTACAAATAAATATATATATTAGTTATTTTACAACTGATTTTATAGTCGATTGTTTTACACTACAATTTTTAATAATTGTAAGGTAAAATAAATACAGTTTATAAAATTAATTATAATAATATAATGTACTATTACAATGAAATATATTTTAAGCTTCATAACATTATTTGTAGGATAAAGTTGTTGATTTTACATACCATAGTATAAATTTAAAAAATATTTATAAAAAATATGTTTTATTTAAATTGATATATTCAAAATTATAATAAGCTAGTGCTGTGTTAATATAATGGAAGGGCGAAATTGCTTTACAATGATATAATTTGTTAAAGACTGTTTTATTTATACCTAAAAGTAAAAATAAAAGATTTATATAAATAAAATAGGAGGCATTGGTAACAATTCACAGCCTCGTGCAACACACTTTGATCAACACGGCACTTAGCTGAGCAAAAAACATAACAGTTAGAATTATTCAATAGGAATTTCTATCAAAAATGTCTAACTTCAATGTTAGTACAAATAATACATACACATATTAAAAATATATAATAAACACATCTATAGATAATTTAATGACATTTGTTGAAAGTTGAAAAAGTAAAAGATTAATAAGAATAATTAAGATAATAAAAATAAATATAGTAAAATGTTATGATCAAGCAAAATTAAATTAAAATAAATATAATGGGTAACATATAATGACTAAATATTTTACTATAACGGTTACCCATAAAATGGCAAAAATAATAACGAACATTTGAAACCTAGGCAAAGGAATTATAATCTTATACAAATACAAGCTTTTATAAGTTTTTGATCATGTTACAATAAACTTAAAATATAAGAATTTAATAGAAATTGTAAACAACAATTCCATGTAAACATTTTATTTGACCCCTGGAAGTTTTGATAAGACTTTAGTTAAATCAACACCAGTTAAAGCTTGAACAGCTGGAGGTAATTGTCCAACTAATCTGTTAACTTCTGCCGTTACATTATTATTCCCGCTTAATAATACGATTTCCTCAGTTTTTGATAAAGGAGCTACTATTTCAGCAGCAATTTTTGGTAATGCATCCATGATTAAAGACATAACAGCTGCTTCTTCATATTGTTTAAATACATTTGCCTTCAACATCATACCTTGAGCCTCAGCTCTACCAACAGCTTCTATTGCTGAAGCTTCAGCAAGTCCAATTTTCTTAATACGTTCACCTTCTGCTGTTGCGACTTCCACTGTTTGAGTTCTAAAAAAAAAAAAGCGGGTAAGTCGTGGATGTCGCTCTGCTGTACAGTAGGTCACAAGTGGGTTACTGTAATGGATGGAATTAAATTTGAATCCAATGATATTATATCATTGTATACAAAAAACGATTCTGAACTAAGACG